GAAACTAGTTTATGGAAAGCTAATACGGGAGTTAGTGTTAGAGATTCCGCCGGTAGATGGCTACAAAGTGACACGTGTTGAAATTGAAGAAATTCTCAAAATTGCGCATAAGAATCAGCGCAGTAAATATGTGAAACTCACAGACCCTAATGCAAAGGCATTATATTCCCGTCGTGTTCGTTGTAATAACAGAAATATTGAGGTATGTGCTTAATCTGGTTTTTGATTGATAGATTGTCAGTACATTCCCTACATTATAATCGGTATCTTCCTTGAATTATAGAAACGACGGAGGAGATTATTAGCACTTTCTGACCTGGTAAATGAAAAAAGCCGCCTCATAAGCAACTATGATGTTAACGAGCTTGAGCAAATTGTCCAGGATCGCCGCTACCACTCCCCGGAACGTTCACCTGAACGCTCACCCAACAGTTCGTTCGAGCATTCATCCAACGAAATAATCGTTTATGATTTGAGCTGGCGTTCTGAAAAGGTAAGCCTTTGGGAGCATTCGAACAATTATCTAAACTCTTATTGAATTTTTTTTTCAGTTGAAGAATCTCCTTCGAGACATTCTCGATAAACACGGCTTTGAAGTGCGGAAGTCAAGTCATAAGAGGAGACGTATACTGAGTGAGGAGGAAGAACGTACTGAGGTTCCGAAAGAAACACCAGCATGGTGTATTTGCCAATATAATGACTGTATAATTACATATTGTCACTGGTGTCGATTATGTCGATAATAAATTGAGAAACATTATTGGTATATGTATTATCTCACGATCTCGTTATTTCATGTTTTAACAGCAATTGTTCAAGCATCGAAGTTAATAAGTGCGTGGCGATAAAAGAAATTCATAATAGGAAAAGTTCATAATTTAAATTATATAAATTGGGTTACAATAGTATTTTGGGCTGAATAAACAATTATCGCCCGTATGACGGAATTTTACGATTGATGACGATCTCCCTGCATTTTGCACATGGCACATTCATTGAAAATGTTAAATAGAATATTTCAATCTAATCTGAATCCTGCATTATATCAGTAAGAAAACCAAACCCACCGTTTGTGCCAGTTTCTGATAAATTGACACCCAAGTTTTCTCGATTGACGTTACCATTAATGTTAGTGAAATTTTTTATGTGAAAGTCTTGTGTTACTACGCCGAAATAATCGATGGCGTGTGTGAAGAAGAATGGCAAACATCTTGGGCAGTTAAATTTTAATACACTGAAACATGAAAGATTATAGCATAGAAGAGAACCATGTAAGTGCGAATCTCATC